CAGGGAATCACGACTGAGGTTGTTATTGGGGAAGGGGTAAACCTACAAGGTTGTTTTTTAGAGGAAAAGCAGCCAACGTCCAAAGGAAAAAGTTTAAAAGTCTTTTGCCTGGAAAACTATTGCTTAAGACCGGTTTAAAAAAAATCAACAAGGTGTGGTTCCTTGAAGACGAAGTGTAAAGAGGAGTAACTCAAGACTTTTGCACAATACTGTATGTATGTGTATGCATCTGAATTTGATTATACTTAAAAAAAACCTCTGAAAATGACTAAAATACACATGAATAAAGGAACAAATACATACTAATTGAATAATTTATTCATAAGGCTTATTATACTGTATATTCCTCATAACTGTATTTCTTTCGGTGTATCATCAAAGACGCTTTTATAGCTTTTAGACTGAACTGCAAAACTCAGTATCACAGAAGAATCATGTTTCATGTCAAGTCTTATTGGTTGCACTCATTTTACAGCCTTTACAATGTGACCAATCACAACAGGGACAAAGAAAAAAGGTTTATTTTTACTTTCATTCCTGTTTGAACCTCCACAACACATTAAACCACTGCGGCGTGCCACAGACTGTATTTTTCCTGCATCAGTTTGTCTTCTGAAGGTGAGTTTGTTTTGATAACATCTAACTTCATCCACAGTATGCATCTTTCTGCTGCAAGTATGACTTTTATCACTTCAGCGGGTTTCTTGAAGGTGGTTTTACTTTCAGTTTCTCTTTGTCTGAGAAAATGTTTCTTCCATTATATTTCTTGTTTGAGAATCAAACATGAAATGTTTTCTGTGCTGATTATCCTGCATAATTAAATTGGTAGCTGTAAATTAACATATTTTCTCCTGACTGCAAATATGAAAACTAGGAAAAGTGAGGTCAGATAAATAAAACCCCAAATTCTCAGAGTGTTACTTTAAAGTAAGCTGGCACTTCTGACTGACCAGTGTCATAGCTTGGTGTATGTCAACCAGATGTGGGCCAGGTCTGGCAATGATGACACTATTTATGTTCCTATTTTCCTATTTTAGTTAGAAGACACAAATGCCATGTTGCAATATTATACTGCTATGGTAACCAACGTTTCAAATGCAAGTTTGACAGGTTTGTCAGTGTACACTTTATCCAGAACCTAGTGACAGACAGTTTACTCGTCTTAATTAAGCTACACATTAGGCTGACATCTGGGGCCAGAGCTGAAACTGCTCTGGGCCAGCACAGGACCACCAGTGTGTCTGCAACTGGCTTCGTGTGGACCACATCTGGCAAACCAGATCTGGGCCACCAAAGGCCCGTCATTCTTTGTAGCATGTGGGCCATGTATAAGCACACTGTGTGGGCCAGATCTGGGCCATACCAATTTTGCTATGTGGACTGGTAGTGATTGTATTTTACATGTTTTAATGAAAGACAGCAAACGTGCCCTTCAAAAAGAAAGTGTTTCACAAGCAAAAGAGTTTTCAGTAAGGTGGGAGTGGGATGATTCACTTGCAGGTTTACATGACATTTTATTTAAAAAAAAAAAACACCCTTAATAATATATTATATAAATGGTCACAGGATGCATGTGCAGTTGTGGTTTTCTGAGATAACTTGTTAAACTTGATCTGATCTGTGTCTACATCATCAGGTGATTTCCCATCATGGCAGCAATGAAATCCGCCTTGTCTAAGGATCAGGAGAAGCAGCTCCTCTCTCTTTTCGGTCGTGTCAAACTCCATCTGCTCCACAAAGCCAGCATCCATGGGTTCACTGCTAATGTCTTCCACAGACACTGTGACAATCAAGGGCCCACCGTTATTGTAGCCTACAATGCTGCTGGGTTCATCTATGGAGCCTACACCTCCAAAGATTACACTCAAGGTGGAGAGGGTGTCAATGATGAGAAGACATTTCTCTACAGTATCAGTGCTGAGAGAAACAAACCACTGAGGGTAGCAGCTATCATCGGGCAGCGTGCTTTCACTGATGGAGGCACCGGTCCAAATTACGGTGCTCTGGTTTTCTTGCATGATGACAACCCTGAAGTGCAGTCAAATCCAGGCACAGGCTTCAACTTTCAGGCTGCAGATATGCATGGAAATGACTTGACACTGACAGAGTTCGAGGTGTATCGAGTTGAAGGTGTGTAAAAGTAATCCCTGAGTTTTATAGAATTAAAAAGATGTCTCCCATGGTTATACTTTCAAAACAGACATTTCATGACTATTAAGAAAACGTGCTCATCTACTTGCAGAAATGGCCTCGTGCACTCATGAGCTTATGCTTAAACCAAGGCTTGTAATTTTACTGTGCATTTTTTAGAGAATTAATATTGATATGATTAAAAAGTGATCCTGTTCTTATTAATGGATTTTTCACTTATAGACCTAGAAGATCTCTTGCCCAAGCCCTGGAGGAACATCAAATGGACGGCTGAGTATGTAGAAACCTGCAGCACAGTTATTGGTGGTGTTTGTGTAAAATATATAAATTTATGTTTGGATTTTGTAATTCTAAGAAAAACTAAATTGTTCATCATATGTTCATCATCAGTATAAGGTTATGTCATATCTTTTTTAGCTTGTCATCATGTAAACTTTTTGTGCTTGCACTCTGGGTGGTGTGGGTACATTTTCTTTCTTCTAGACAAAAACAGCAATTGATGAAGGCCATCCTGAACTATAAGCCTGACATCAAAACAGTACACCAAGCCCGTGTGTTGTTGGTAGGCCCGATTGGAGCAGGCAAGTCCAGCTTCTTTAACTCCATCAACTCAGCATTTCGAGGCAACATGACTTCCCAGGCCATCGCTGGCACAGCGGGGGAGAGTGTGACCACTCAGGTACTGGCACAGGACTTTTTGTGTAACTGAATCTGCATGCTCTACCTGTAATGTACAGTGTTTTCCCATTAAATGACATTTTCTATCTGTTTTGTAGTTTCGCACTTACACCATCAAGGCAGGGAAAGGTGGTTGCGTCGTCCCACTGATCCTCTGTGACACAATGGGGCTGGAGGAAAAGGGTGGTTTGGACATTGAGGACTTGGTCAACATCTATAAAGGTCACATCAAGGATCGCTACCAGGTGCATTTCATGTTAACTGATTAAATAGTAAATGATTAAATACAAAAAACGTAGGCAGCTGATTGATAAGTAACAACTATGTTTTTTTGTACTTCAGTTTAGCACATCTGGCCCTATCCTAACAGATGCTCCTGGCTATCAGAAGCATGTGACTCTGAGTGACAGGATTCACTGTGTGGTTTATGTGGTCGACACCTGCAAGGTCTCTATTCTCAGCCAGAAAATGCTGGAAAAACTTTGTGCCATCCGGAGAAAGACTAATCAGCTGGGTCAGCAGAAACTCTTTTGATTATTTTTTTTTTTTTTAGAAAACATTGAAAACAGCACGTGCAGCAGGCAGTTTTATATATATGTAAATATATAAGGCTATATTAGGGAAATACAACAAAGGGTAAACCTTTTCTTGGTGTCAGTAAACTGTTTCAGTCGTGATTTGTATTTCCGGTCCCTCAAAGGAATTCCTCAGCTGTTGCTGATGACTAAAGTAGACGAGGCCTGTCCACTGGTGGCGGAAGACTTGAAGAATGTTTATCGCAGTTTTTACATCCAGAAGAAGGTGATGTTTTTAGATGCATTTACAGCAGCAGGTCAAAATTTGACATGACAATAATGCTCATTTAATCTGTGTAATCAGGCGCGTGAGCTGAGTGAGGCTCTGGGCATCCCGTTATCCTGTATACTGCCGGTGAAGAACTACAGTGAGGAGCTGGACCTGGACCAGGACACTGACACTCTACTGTTTGGTGCTGTGCAGCACATGCTGAACTTTGCAGACAGCTTTTTTGAGAACCAGGCTGAAATTCAGGAAGGGAATGATCAGATGGAGCTTTACAGATCCAGTGATATTTCCCGCCCTGATTATCAAGAACACAAAGAACATCAGATTATTTGAAATCCAAAACATATAAGCATCCCAAACCATTTCAATTCAGACCTTTTCAAAATGATCAATTAATTAGGTTCTCCAAGAGGGTTGCAACAAATGATCTTAAAGTAAAACCCTTGTATTGTAGGCAAACTGAAACTATATTTGTTTCATGAGTGAAACAGTAAAAACATTTATAAATATTCACTGTTCATTTCATGTCTGCAAAGATGTGCCAGCACGTTGCATGCTGCTTTCTCTCAACTAAAAGCCACTGGATCAAAGTGCTATATTTTTGCGCTCTGAAGCTAAAATCTTTGAGCTTAATTAAAGTCATTAACAGATGCCACGTGATCCAATCATGGGTCCTGATCAGCTTTGAGGTAGATCCTTAAGTCAAGCTTGAGTTTCAGATCCTTAGAAGCAGAGTCTGTTGTGTGCACTTCTTTTATTTTAATTAACTTGGATATTCTGAAAATATTAATTTGCAAATATATTCTTCCTTGTCCTGCTCTTATTGTGTAAAAAAAATAAAAAAAATAAAGGAAAGTCAGAAAGTCAATATGCTTTATCATATGCTTTATTTCAGTTTGTTACATATTGCAAATTTGACTCTAGGTCCATTTTTACTGATGATATAGTTCCACAAATCGCTTGCTTGCTTTATATGCATGACTGCAGTCTTTCAGTAGTAGGAGGGTTACATAGACGTCCCCCCTTCATTCAGCCACTAGATGTCAGTCATAATTACATAATCACATCAGTCCTGTAAAGACGTTGTTATGAAAAGGTGATCTCTTATTACACAATTTTATCTCATAGTCCAACACGGGAGCTAGTTAGATCATTTCACTTGAACAGATGCATGTATTTGTTTATGCATAATATCAGTTATGTCAGAATGACAAGTGTACTTTTGTCCCTTAAAGTCATCACTCACTGTAACCATACAAACCCACGAGGCCACATGACAAGAAAATATGTTGGTTTTCCTTTGAGCCAATTGCAAAACTCGCCTAGTTTCGGTGCCGCCCACCTTCCAGCTTCACTATAAAACTGTGACGCAACGTTGCCAACAACAAACGCAGAAGAGACTGGCATAACTTTGGTACACCGGCAGTTGTCACGCATTTACGCAGTGGGATCGGTTTTTAATTTGCAATCATGATTCCCGAAGAAAGCTTTGCTTCCATCGAGAACAAGTAAGATTTCTTGCTTCAGCTCTATTTTTATGTTGGTTCAGCATGTGCATGTGCGTGATCATGTGCTGGAAGGGTATGTTGATCGTCCTTTGACCCCTCCGTTGTGTGGATTGCTTAGGCTGATGTAATTAAAGTGCTTTTTTGAAAGCTTTGATTTGAGACTGGAACGCAGAGACTTTCTGTTATTTAACATCTGGGTGCATAAAATGTTACAATCTTTTCTGTCCTGTCAAAGTTTGACACCCGCATGCGCGTAAAAGCCAAAATCCAGAGATTATGCATGAATTATTATGAGTCATAAGACCTCAGTATTAATATCTTTGTACTGGCATACACAATACTACGCATGCACGTTGCACAACATGCAGCGAAATTCCTTGAAACTGTAAAATGCGCATTTATGGCTTGTTTTATATCACCACAATCATCCCCATGCATGAAACTGATAATGAAACTGATCTGAGCGTGTATTTCAGTGTTCTAACGACTTTTAATTCAATTAATATGGAAGAGGGGGGATTTTTGAAGCAGTGCTGCATATATTTAATACCACTAATGTTTTGTCATATTGTAGAATACAAAAGGCTAACTGTCCTGTCCTTATCCCTTAGGATGCAGTCTGTAGGTCTGGCTCTGGAGGAGTTGCTGGTAACTGCTCAGAAACAAGGCTGTCTCACTGTTGGCATTTATGAATCAGCCAAGCTTCTTAATGTGTGAGTTGAAAGTATTAATTTTGGTTTGTGCTTCTCTTCTCATTGCCCAAACTGATCATCCCCAGACATGTGAATTCAGGTTTTTCCTCATTTTTCTTCTTTTCTCTTCCCCCTCAGAGATCCAGACAGCGTGGTGCTATGCGTGCTGGCAGCCGACGATGAAAACGATGTGGCGCTGCAGATCCACTTCACGTTGCTACAGTCCTTCTGCTGCGACAGCGGCATCACCATCTTGCGAGTCTCTGGGTTTCAGCGACTCCAGCGGCTGCTGGGAGCTGTGGATGCCAACAGGAACCAGGAAGAGCACAGAGACCTTCACTGCATGCTGGTTACGGTGTGTTGACTCAGCATAGTGGCTACCTCTTATGTAACTGAAAGGCAGATGGTGATCTTTTTCATGCACAATTTTCAGCTAAGATATTGCACCTTTTCTTTGTCATCGCCTTGTGATTTTTACTCTTACTTTGCAGGTTCAATTCAAATTGAACGCTGGACATGATTCTTTTTTTCTCCCACACAGAATCCTCAGGCAGAGCACTGCAGACTGCAGGAAGTGGGGACCTACTGCCAGGAGAGTCGGCGCCTTGACCAGTGGGTGCCTGAACTAGTCCTGCAGGAACGCTGAAGGGTCTGCATACAGGAACTTTTGTGGCCAGATACTGATACACTGAAGGATCTGTATGCTCAAGCAGGGATGACCTGGAGTGTAGCCGCTCCAGTCCACTATCCTTAATGACCAGCAAAACCATGGACTCCCACTCAAAGACTAGTGAAACAGCTGGACTGGACACTGGTTTCTAGAATCTGTACTTGTGCAAAAGATACAGAGAGAAAAGTCACAATGTTTTTACAATGCCATCAAAACACAATCTGTTTTGTGTTGCTCTCTGGGTGCTCACAATGTCTATGGGGTGTGACATAGTAAACATTAAGAGGAGTAGTAGTTTTGAAAGGAACACATCCACACCCATCTTATATCTGGAAGTCTTGTTTGTTTGACTGACAGGAATGTTGCAGTGCTGAAACTGTACCAGACATTCCTGGGAGAGTCCCAGAAAAGGAGAGGAGAGGTGTGTGTTTGTATGTGTGGTATGTCTATGTGTGGTATGCATTTACAATACTTGTTTTTTACTGTAGAAAAGACTGGGTGTGCAGTATGTACATTCTTAAAACGAACAGCTGAAAGCTGCTGGGGAATTGTCACCATGGAAACTGAAATGGAAATAATGTTAAAGACACACAGGACCTATGGACACCGGAAGAAACAAAAGAAAAAACAATGTAAAGAGACTCTGAGGATGATATATTTTAGTCAGGATCCGAAATTCCCAATGATGCAGAACGCCTGTGCTGTCTGATCCGGACAGGTCAGCTTTAAATGTATTGTAAAAATATCAACTTCTTTGTGCCTTCAAGAGTGCTGCCTTTCTGATAAATAACTAATGTAAAGTGGCTACACTGTTAATTTATTGATTGTATTGTTTTTTGTAGTTATTTGTAATCTATTTTGTGCTCTGTTATCTAAGTAAATAAATTATTTTATTCATAAATTCTTCTTGTTCCTGGGGCTTCTGCTCAGATTTCAAAACAAAAGCCATGTGTGCGTCATGGAACCTGCTGAGTCACGCAACTACAGTTTACATTCGGGCTGAAGTCATGGAAAATGCATGCACACTTAGGGCAAAGTCTTTGTCATTGCCAGCCCCTTCTATTGTCGTGAGCATAAGTCAGTGAGAATGAAACTGGGGTGGGGACAGAAACTCACTAAAACAAGCATAACAAGCTCATGCAGACCTACTGTCCCTACAAGTCAGGAAGTAATGAAGCATTACAGGAAAGACGCATTACCTGCGTGTCAAGTGTTTTTATTTATTCCCTAGCCAGATTCCATACATGCATAACAAGAATCTTTTAAAAATGTATTTGCATTATATATTGCAGCTAAAGCCCTGCAACAATGTTGCATGCAAATAACATAATGTGTGTTTGTGCGTGTGTGTGGGTGAAGCCTCTGATCCCTCTATTATCTCTGCTTAATCTCAGGATCTTCCCTCTGCTTTGCAATCTATTCCACCCTCTGCTCTCACATGGCTGTTCACAGCCCTGTCTGCTGCTAGAGGAGAGAGGAACATATTGAGGCACATGGACCTCACACTTGTTTACAATCACACAGGGTAGTGACTGGTGAGGGGAGTGTCTTCTCAAAGGCCGTGGCTCATCCAGCCTAAATCCGATTGGCTGTGACTTGCAGAAGGGTCATGGGAAGTATGGTTTGAAACTTGGAGACAAGCTTGTGACGGTTGAAAGCACACTCCAAAGGGCACAGTGAAGGCCTGAGACGGCTACAACAATGGAATTCCTGTGAAATGACCAAACTGGGAGACTTTTACCTAGCTCTGCTCTTTGTTTACTCTGTTTGATGCATTCTCTTACATGCATCATGCGCTGCACATCGTATACCAAGTAGGCCAGAGAGCATGTTTCTGCAAGTGCATTGTAAAGTTGCAGTTGCATTTTTAAACCGATAAACCTCAGATAATAATCAAAAACACTAATATTCTGCAGCTATACCAGCAGCTCTGCGAGGCTCATACTTGTATTGTATCTGATGTTTGTGATCTGCCCAGTAAACTTGAAATACACTGATGTTAACATCAAAACAAAATAAAAAAAACAATACAGGAAAAGTTTGTTATTATATCATCTTTTTATTAATGTTATCTACTTCTCAATATCATCTTTTTTAAACAGCAATATCCACAAAATATTAACAGTGTGCAAGAAAACATGAGTTATGGCACATCAGAGAACAGTTACAAAAAATAGATATATTTTCTTCATAGTCAATCAAGGCAAAAAGATACATATACTGTATGCATACACAGGAGATCAGAGCACAAAAGATGATTCTCAGGAAGGGCTCGGAGCCAAATCAGAGAAGCTTGATATGAAAGTCCAACAGGGAGGAGCCTCGGCTCTCCTCACCAAGCTTGAAATGAATTTCGAGAGGCTTGCATTTTTGCGCACAACACCAGTAAATTTCCACTTTGAGCCGTGTGTTCCACTTTTAAGACTGTTTAAGACTGCCCCCCACCTCCAAGTCCAGCATTTACATGATATACACCACTATAAGGCAAACTAACAACCAATCAATCAGACAAACCAGCAATCCAAGCTGTGTGTCTCTGATTGAAGCCCAACCATGGATGGAATGATAGTAATAAAAAAAAAAAAATAGCATATGCTTGGCAATACCAGGACATCTGTGTGTGTGGTTGTGTGTGTGTATGTGCATTTGTCTGATGATAAGTTATGCATGTATGTTTCCTTGTGTTAAACCTCTGCAGCAAGAATTCTCTTTCACTTTAGCTTGCAAAGAAATGAAAGGAAAGTGTTTATCACATTCCTGTAAACTGACAGGGAATCAGTTCTTTCATCTTAGAATAGTTCAGGTCCTTGATAAGCAAACCCAGGCCAAATAAGTACGTATAGTTAAGTCAATACTGTTGCTATGCCATCACATGTCTTTAGGTAGTTCTTTAAAAAAAAAAGAGCACCGTTTATTTATATCAGCCTAATTAATCTCTTCAATCATTCCTTTCATCATATCTGCTTCTAGGGCTACCTGCTTTAACTTAGCATAAAGATAAACAGCTTGAAACAGCCAGGCTAGCAGCAACAAAACCTGTCTACCAGCACCTCTATGGCTCACTGTGATAATGGCAAAACATCAAAGTCATATAACACCTTGACTGAGAACTTTAAAAGAGCTTTTTTGCAGGTGAACAGAGGCGTTTCTCCCTGTTTCTTGTCTTTAAGGTAAGCTAACCAGCTGCAGGAGAAAGCAAATATACACATTTCCTCAAATGTCAACATGTTCCTTTACGTATCCAAGGCTTATGTTAGTGGTAATGAAATTATTTGTTTTGCCACATTTCACCTGATCAATTTTAGCCTGTGACACAATCCCCCTTTTCACTCTTCAAAATATGCAGACTGATTAAGTGAGAAAAGGAGGAAGTGCAAGCCATATATGTTGTTCTGACTTGTGGTATCACATGACCTTTCCTCTGGTCAGACTAACCCTGACCTAGAACTGCAGGACTGCAGTACTATAACATTACAGTCTAACACTGCAGCACTGGAGGCACTGCTCGTTCTTACGCACTGTGTCACTCGCACAAACACACACAGACCATGCACACGAGCACACACTTGCATGCTCCTCTATTTTCTCCTCTCCACCTACTGCTCTGCCAAATCATCCCTTTTCAGCTACCAAACACAAGCACCCACACACACGCACACACACTTGCACACCCTCTCTATGGCCTTTCTCCAGCTCCTGCTCTCTATACTTCTATCTTTGTCTGTATCATAAGCCATTGGCTACAGTGCAAAAACACAGATGCTAAGCAGCGATTTAAACTGGTAATTAATCACAAAGCTGAATTTTTAAAGGAATCATTTGACATTTTGGGAAATATGCTTATTCTCACAGTTTGAGATTGCTAAATGTAACAATTACAATTATTCTAATGCCGATTTGTCTAAACCCCACACATTCCCAGGTACGCATGAGCACGTGTGGATGCAAACAACTCTTTCCACCCACCTCCAAAGTCTGTATAGCAGCTGGGTCACACTGACCTTAAGTGACATGAAAGCAGAAAACTAGTACGACGAACCCTTGTGACTCTATGTCAGCAGATATAAGCCATGTCCAAATGATCCCACCCTCGGCTAAATGCTAAAGTGTAGATATGATGGAAGGAAGATCCCCTCTCTCACCAATTCTCCTTACAGCTATTAACCTTTTACCTCTGATAAACATCATTCAAGCTTGAAAAGCACCCAAAGCACAGGATGTAGGTGTGTGTTGTATGTTGGTCTAGATGCCTGTTGCCCCCCAAAAAACAAAAAACTAAAAAAAACAAGGACAGCTTTGGTGTTAAAGGTCAGATCAGGAGGTTGGTTTTGCACCACCGTAATGAGGTCCGATGTTGATTCATCTTGTTACGGGGCATGACTCTAAACCAAACACAGCTTTTGTTTCCGGTACATTACTTCATCCTCATCGGTTTTATATGTGGCCGAAACCAACCTCAGCTATCGCAGGCCTCTAAAACCTGATTGACGTAAAAAAGGAAAAAGCAAAGGACAGACGTGATCCTGATTGACAGAATAAGTAGTACTAAAAAAATCCAACATCCACAGAGGGGAAATCTGTGTTCTGAGTTTGTATCTTACAAACACTGTACAGGGTAATACTCAACTGACCAGGTTCCATGGACTCCATAGAAAGAAGAGAACTTAAAAAAAAGAAAAAGAAAAAAAAGAAAGCCAAAACAGCTACTCTTCAACTTATCACTTCTGCACATGTCTGAAAGAAAGTTTATACACTTAGTTTTTTTTTTCTCTTAATTAACTTGATTTTTTTCTTCTTCATGTTTCAGTTTTTACAATCAAGTTTGGTTTGTCAGACAGGAGGAGCGCTGTGGAGGAGACGAGGATGGAGGGACACAGAAAGGAGACTGCCAGCTCCTACTGATCCAGCCTGTGACCAAGCTGGGATAACGTCAGAGTGAGCTCTTATGCTGGGGAAACTGGGACCTTTAGACTGGTGAAGTCAGGTAATCTGATTAATAGCCATAATTGCAAAGCATTAAAACAAGATGTAAACCCCTTGAACAGAGAGGTGACCCCTTATTTTCAGACTACCCACTCCTCTCATTTTCGTTCTATTCACCCTACAAGAACTAGTAATTGAAATATATATGGGCTGAGAGGGTGGGAAGAGGGCACCTTCATTTTTACTTTCTATGTCTGGGTCATCTCCTCCAGCCTCGCAGTCCCTTACAGACTGATTCTCTGATGTGATCATTCTGTGGCCTCGCCCTCTCTTGGGGTAAAGCACAGGGAGGCTTGATGTACAGTAGATCTGGTTAGGTATTACCCCTGGCTTACAACCAGATATCCTGTTATTTCATTAATGCAAGCAGGAAAACAAACCTGATCCGCCAGGGGCAACACCTACGTGAAAAGAAAACGATCTAAAAAAATGTAAAGTATTGTCCTATCTGTTAAGTAATGCTTCAACAAAATATCTAAAACGTACATTGAGTTCACAAACAAGTATTTCTTAAGAAAAAATGCAGTAAACGTCTGCGGTTAATAGCTTGAGTTCTGTGTAGAGCCGTTCACTGCTTGCTCTCATAGGTGCAGATCTGGGATCAGCTTAGACATCAGCCCGTGGCGGCTATCATGAGCCGCAGTGGAATCAGTGACAGCAGATCAGCATCTAGAAAGGAATTTTTGTACAGGTTGGCACAGCTGGAGGCTTGGCCAAAGGCTGCAGGCAGCCATTGTGAGGCCACAGGCAGAGAAGGTCTGTTGATACAGGTTTGGGTGGGAACATGCTATGGCCTGATAAAGGCAAAGGCTTTAGCCAGTTGCTCCAAAATGACCCAAGAATGAAGCTTTCATACTTTTTTTTAAAAAAATCTCCCACAGAAAAAGAAGCATTTATTGAACTTTTAATGGGACACGA